TCTCTGCTTTCAGCCAAGATCCATCGGACATTAGCAATGATATCTCTTGTTCCACGGCCTCTTCTGAACCAGCTTGAACCTCTGGAAGTTCTCTGTCATTGTATGATTGTAGCCATTTCTGTATTACCTTTAACAAAACTTTACTCACTTGAGATACCAAAGAGATAGTTCGATGATTTCCATTTTTGGCAACTTCCAATTTTCCAAGATTCATACTTCGTACATTCCATGTTCCAATTTTCAATGGATATTTACAGCTGTTTCTCTTAATTTTGAGTTGTGCCCCATCAGCAAATGAAGGTTCTGTGAGCTTTTGTCCCACAAGCTTAACTCTATTCACGTCATCAGGGTCAGCTCTACTTTGAGGAGGCAGCTCTTCCCCAGTCGCATTTTGAGTGCCTTCCAACCTGAGGGGCTGATTTTCTGGCCCTGTATCTGACAGTGTTTCTCTGCTATTCATAAGGTTTTCAGTGACTAAATATTCAGAAGTAGTTCATCACTCTTTCTTCCTAGTTTGCCTTTGTCTAGAGGCTCATCTGAAACCTGTCCACCATGGGTGACAGCCTCTTCACACTAAAGCCTCTCTAATCACAATCTACCTATGATCCCATGCAAATGACAGGTAATCAGTATCTGCCTAGATTCCCATGCAAATGACAGAGACCACCCTAAGGACCACTCTAGGACATGTCAGATGAGGGATGGAAAGGGTGAGAATCTGCCCTGGGGATCAGATTGTAGACATCAGAGTGTGGAGAGTCACATGGAAGAGGAGGGATGAGAAGGTGCCTCTTCAATTTCCTCACAGTTCCTGCAGAGCTGGGAAGTTAGTGCCAGGGAGGCAGAGCCCACTTCTTGAGTCTCCTCCCACCTGCACTTGGACAGGCTCCTCCCTGTGTCCAGTGCCCAGTGCAGACATTTGATCCCGTACTTGAACAGGCTCCTCCCTGTGTCCCTGTGTCCAGTGCAGACATTTGATCCACAGCAGTTTGCTAAGAGTGGAGGGCAAAGGCCAGTCATTGACCCTTTATATAATTCCGGACAGGCTGGAAGAGCCATTTGCATTTGGTGTGCCTCAGGTCTGATCCTAGGAAGCTGGATTGCGCTACCACTCAGCCCAGCAGACCAGCCCTGTAGGCAGTGAGGCACCATGGGGCTGCTGACTGGGGAGGCCCTGACCACCTTGGCTGTGGCCTTGGCCATCTTCCTGCTCCTGGTGGATCTGATGCACCGGCGAGTTCGCTGGGCTGCCCGCTACCCTCCAGGCCCTGTGCCTCTGCCTGGACTGGGCAATCTGCTACAGCTGGATTTTCAGGACATGCCACACAGCATAAATCAGGTGAGGCTGGTGGGGTGGAGCACTAGCAGCCTGAACACCCCTCAGCACCTGACAGTGGGTGTTGGGGGAAGATAAATGAGGAGCTGGTCCAAAACACAAGCAGGTTAGGCAGGCTTCCGGGGGGGGGGGGGGGGGAGTTAGTTTAGTGTTGGTTTAGATTTTCATAGAACAAAAATTGGGGCGTGGGTTGCAGAGGGTTGAAGGCCAGGAGGCGGCGTGAGACTGTGGAGCAGGTTTTCCTTCCATTGTTGTTGTTGTTGTGAACTGCCATGCAGTTAGCTCCAACTTATAGTGACCCTGTATAAGGGTTCTGAGCGGTAGTTGGTGAGTTTAAACTGACAAGCTTGTGGTTCAAACCAACCGAGTAGCCAATGCTTATCCTACAGTGTCACACCATGAGTCCTTGCCATCCCATTGTTGTTGTTAAGTGTCATAGAGTTGGTTTCTGACTCATATACAACTGGTGAGTCTGAGTTGCCAAACCTGTGGTTTCAACTGACCTTTAGGTCCAGTTCTTGTCCTACAGCACCACACCAGGCCTCCTTCCATCCAATAGATGACACAAATTATGCAAACACTAAATCTGATGAGCTCAGGAATGAGGTGGGGCTGGGTAGTGACCCCTCTGTAAAGCTGGTTTGGAGGGGGGGGCACTAACTCGGATCCAACTTTTCCCTGTGCTTTGGGCCTCCTGTTCACATGTGTTTTCTGATTTGTAAAATGAGACGTTTCATGGGTTAATGAACCACTTGACCGATTGCAAAATCATACGTGGGCGGTCGGATCCTAGTAATTCCTCGACCTATGGTGGTGGTTATGTGCCGTGGAGTCGGTTCCGATTCATATCGACCCTGTACGAGGTTTCCAAGGCTGTAAATGTTTACGGGAGCAGAAAGCCTCATCTTTCTCCCACAGAACAGCTGATAGTTTCAAACTGTTGCCCATGCGGTTTACGGCCCGATTTGTAACCACTATGTTACCATGGAGCTCTGGTAGCGTAGTGGTTACAAATCGGGCTCCGAACCTCAGGTACAGCAGTTCGAAACTACCAAAAAGATGAGGCTTTCTGCTCTCGGAAGATTACAGCTCGGAAATCTTGTACAGGGTTGCTATCAGTCAGAACTGACTCCAACATCACAACATCAACAACAACAAGCTACCATAGCTCCATAGCTCCTCCACCTCTGTTGTTGTTGTTAAGTGCCGTGGAGTCAGTTCCAACTCATAGCGACCCTGCATAGGGTTTCCGAGGCTGTAATCTTTACGGAAGCAGAACGCCTCCTCTTTCTCCCGTTGAACCGCTGCTAGTTTCGAACTGCTGACCTTGCGGTTCACAGCCCGATTCGTAACCACTAAGCCAGAGCTCCTTCTCTAGAGGGTGTTAACCCGATGTCATATTCGTCCTTCACTGGCTACTGGTAACCCAGTGGTTCCACCAAGTTTGAGCGCTGACAACGAGTGCCACCCCCATGCAGCCACGCGGCTTGACAGCCCCCTGCCCTCCGTCTGCAGCTGCGGCGCCGCTTCGGGGACGTGTTCAGTCTACAGCTGGCCTGGACGCCAGTGGTCGTGCTCAGTGGGCTGGAGGCCGTGCGGGAGGCGCTAGTGCTCCGCGGTGAGGACACTTCCGACCG